TGAAAAATCAGAAGACAACAAAAATAGCATTAAAAATCTATTCATAAAAATAATGGCAGAAAATTCCACAAATATACAGAAAAAAATAAATATACAGTAAGTGAAACTTACAGAACACCAGATAGTTATGACCAAAAGAGAACCTCTCCATGCCACATTCCAAAAGTCCATCACAGGGACAAAATCTTAAAAGCTGTTCAGAGAAAGGCAACAATGGTGAGGCTGTGGTAAAAAAGAAACCCTTCTCCAATGTTAGTGGTAACACTGACTGGTACAACCACTGTGGAAGTCATTGTGGAGACTCCTCAAAAAAACTAGGAATGGGAATCCTATTCAACCAGCTATTCCCCTTCTGGGTATTTTCCCAAAAGAACTGAAAACATCATACTATATTGGTATATGTGCACCCATGTTTAGAGCAGCACTGTTTATCATAGTCAAATCTTGGAAACAATTAAAATGCCCATCACCTGAAGAATGGATAAAAAAAGATGTGGTATTTTTATACAATGGTGTATTACTCAGCTATAAAGAAAGACAAACTCCACGTCTTTATAGATAAGTGGATGCAACTAAAGGCTATACTTGTAAGTGATATAAAAAAGACCCACAAGTGTAAATATCATAGTCTCCCTAGTGTAAGAACTTGAAAGAAGAAATAAAATCTGAAATGTATAATATAGTAAAACAGAGAGAAACTGAACTTAAGGATTAAACAACAAAGATGAGAGAAATAAAAAAAGGAAAAACATGCAAGTATGTACACAGGATGGCTGAGATGATTGTACTAATAATTTCCATCAGTCTTTTGGAAATAGCAGTTAATGTGTAGAATTTATACCTTGACTTAACTCTACATGCTAATATCTGCAATCTAAGCAATGACACTGAGGAGAGCTATAGAAATATAGATATGAGACAAAAGCCTAATGTCCCAAGGAAACAAGGAGCTATACACAGAACCCAAGGAGAGTTGCTATCTCTCACTTGTAAATTCTGGAAAGTTGGGATTCAAGGCTGCAGATAACAGCTTCTCCTGCTGGTGCCATTTTTAATCCCTTGCTTGGGATGTTATCTGCTAGCATTTGTGTGGACATACTGTTAGGCAAATGGTAGAAGTCAACAGAGATAGTAGTCTGTGTTTACTTAAGTAATTATACACATTCCTTAGCCTGCCTTTAGCCCTCAATAAATGAGATGCTGGGCTGGGGAGATGGCTCAGTAGAATAAGCACTTGCCTGGCAAGTGCAAGGGCCTGAGTTCAATCCCCAGTTCCACCAAAAAAAAAAAAAAAAAAAAAAAAGTAAGATGCTTCTGAGGCTCTGGGCTCACCTGGAGAGAGATTAATCTCAGTGAGACCTCTAAAGCTATATTCATCGGGTCTTCTTGTGGATTCTTTTGGCACCAACCCATAACATACAACAACTGCAATATGTTATACAAAAATTACGCTTGACTACCTCTCATCATGGTCTTCTAAATGTGTAGCATTTCTAATGTCTTATCAATTATTATTATACTCTTACTAAAATAAATTTTCTTTAAAAAAAGTGAAAAAAAGACAAGAAAAAAATTAAGGTTTCTTGATAGCAAGCCATATTAAATTATTTGTCCAATTTTGCATAACTGTATCTATTAATCTGAGCAACGAATCTGACGATAAAAATAGATAATAAAACCATTGCTAATTAGCTATTCTTGTTTTGAAAATCTGTAACATATATATTGTTGTATGTTACCCTGTTTCTGTCTTTGTTTCTATTTGTTTTTGCTTTTGCTTTTACTCTTCAAAATAAAATAAAATAAAATATTTTTTAAAAGAGAAAGGCAACAAATCACATACAAAGGTAAACCCACTAGAATCAAAGCAAACTCCTTTAAGACCATGAGGTTTTAGACTGAAGTGTTTCAAACCCTAAAAATTAACAATTTCCAATCCTGAGTTATGTATCCTGAAAAAGTTTCTTTAATTTTTTTTCTTAATGTACTTAGTACAGGATCTACAGGGTCTCACTACACAGACAGGACTTGTAGCACTCCTCCTGTCCTTCAGCTTCCCAAGGGCTGGGATTACAGATGCGCACCACCTGTCTCATTTGCTGTCTCAGCGCACCCCCTGGGGGCAGGGCCAGCAAGGCAGTCCAGAGATGAAACCCCCAGCCCCTGCGTCTGCCTAAGCAGGCGCTTTAATCCACTGAGCTATCTGGCCAGCCCTTCCTTTAAAATTGATGGAGAAATAAAGTATTTTAATGTCAAGGACACTTCAATAAATTCATGACCATTTATAACTTCATAGCATCAATAAATTCATGATCATTTCAGCATTACAAAAAATTCTCAAGAGGAGATATAAATGGGGAAATCTACAAAAGGAAAATAATGCAATAAGAGGAGTAAATCAGTATCTGCCAGTAGTAACTCTCAACGTAAATGGTCTCAATTTCCCAATCAGAAGACACAGAGTGACAGAATGGATCAAGAAAGAAAACTCAACAATATGCAGCACACAAGAAACAATTAATTAAAAACTACAGATTAAAATTCAAAGGATGTAAAACAATATTCCAGGCAACAGGAACCTGGATAAAAGCAAGGGTTGCTACCTCTAATGTCAGACAAAGTAAATTTCAAGCTAAGATTGATCAAAAGAGACAAAGTTATTACATGTTGGTTAAGGGAACAATTCAACAAAAAAAGTTAACGATTATATAAATCAAATACTAGTGCACCTAAAACAAACACTAGGGGACATAAAAAAATCAGATAAACACCAGATAAGGGGCTGGGGAGATGGCTCAGTAGAATAAGTGCTTGCCTGGCAAGCACAGGGCCTGAGTTCAATCCCCGGTTCTGCCAAAAACAAACAAACACCAGATAAATACCAAAACAACTGTAAAAGGGGACCTCAGTATACTACTGTCACAAATGGACAGATCAACTGGACAAAAAAAATCAACTAAGAAATATCAGAGTTCAAGCTAATCTTTGAACAAATGGATGTAATAGATATCTACAGTTTTCTCTCCAACAACAGAATTGACATTCTTTTTGGCAGTACGTGAGAATTTATCCAAAGCAGACCACATACAAACCAATAAAGCAAGTTTCAGAAAATGCAAAGAACTGAAATTATCCCATGCACATTATCAGACAGAGTGCACTGGAACCAGAAAATCAACGGCAAATGACAGCACAGAAACTATGCAAACACATGGAAATTACATAATATCCTCTTGAATTGTCAATTAGTCCCAGATGACATTAAAGAAGAAATTAGTTTCTACAGTCAAATGATAATGCCAGTATGACATGCCAAGACTTCTGGGACACAATGAAAGCCATCCTAAGAGGGAAATTCATAGCAGTGAATTCACGTATCAGAAAAACATAATAAGCTAAAATAAATTTATATAAAATATGAAACAAAAGATAGGCAAAGAGATAGGAAAGGTACTGTAATCCAGCACAGGCAATGTATCTATAAGTGTATCTTTATGTAACTGTCTTACATGTTTTATGTTCTTTGGCCTATTAGTCTGGTTTTCAATCTGTAATATAATTAATTTAGTAAGGTTTTATAAGTAAATAAATCTGATGCTGGCAAAATAAAAGGGGATGGAGGAAAGGAATAAAAAACTGAAATGTTATGTATATGCACCAATTCCCTACAGTAAATATAATCATTTTGTACTGAAAACATGTACTAATAAAACTAAAACAAAAACAGAACATAGGCACCAGTACTTAATGCCACTATTTGTTGTTCACTGACCTTCTCCTAATAAACAAACTGCATATTTACCAGGTTGATAGTGTGGAAGTTCTATCTGATTAGTTCATGAGTGGTGATTTAGGAAGACTTCCCTTGCCTTTATTCCTTTACCTAAACTAAGAGATCATCTTGAACTAGGTAAAACAGACAGAAATAGAAGAGACAACCCTTTCCAAATGGATTTTCTTCTCAAATCCCAAACCCATGCCATATGTTCTCAGAGTCAAACTACTATTATTAATTTTAATTTTTACTAAATTCAGTAATAGTAAAAAAAAAAGTAATAGGAAGAATGGACTAAAAATGCTTAAAATGTCTAAAATACATGACACATAGCTCTGAGACAAGTTTCTAAAATTATACTAAGGTGATTATCCTAAGGACTGGTACTTACAGAGCTTTCTTTGGCTTCTGCTGGCATTACTATTTCTATAGCCAGTGGATATTTTAAATTCTTTATATAATGGAGGAGATCTAATCAGTAGGATACATATATCTTTCAAGTAGGTTTTTCTGGCTTTTTGTTTGTTTTTTTCCACCAGGCAGGCACTTATGCCACTGAGCTATCTCCCTAGCCCTCAAGTAGCTTTTTAATGAGAAAGTTTCATCAACAGATCTGTCTCTATATATATCTTTTACTCACAAGACAAGAAAACTCTTTAAAATCTTCCTTAATCAGAAACTACTTGTTATGACTTGAATGTGTCCTCAAATTAATATAGTAAAATCCTAACAACCACATTGGCTATGTTTGGAGATGAGCCCTCTAAAGAAGTGATAAAGCTTAAATGAGGTCATAGCGTGAAGACTAGAGTAGAGAGGATTAGGGTCCCTAGATGAGGCCCATTGAGATCTCTCTTAGAATACATACACAACATCAAAGCCACATGAGCAACCGTGAGAAAACAGCTGTTTGCATCATAGTGAGGGGAGCCCTTGTCAGACACTAACCTTGATCTTGAACTTTCTGTCCCCAGGATTGAGAAAGTGGCTCCTGTTGTTTACACTATCCAGTCTGAGTATTTTGTTATAGAAGTTTCAGCATATTAGTGTACTATCTCTGCTACTAACTTTTCCCTAATGCTTATTTCAGAAAATGTACTTTTTTGAATTCTTGTACACCTGAAATATTTCTCTCAACAGCAAATCAGATTCATAAAAAGTGCTTTGCATTAAGTATTATTTACAATCATTTGCAGTCATGTTGCCTCGTAAAAATTATGCTTACCCTTGAAGAGTAATGTACTCTTGGGAACTTTCAGCCCAACAGCCACTCAGCATTGCAGCAAAATACCTAGATCTGGCACTTAAAACAGCCCTAAAAGAAAACACAGGTAAATGTTTATGTTATGTAAAATACAATTTTAATGAATTATTCATCTTAAAACATAATCTATTTGTCCTGTTTGTTTTCACTAGTAGGATTATTATAACAAAACTTCTAAGCTTAGATTTATGCCTAAGTATTATGCTTATTGAAAATATTAATTTAAGTATCTTTTTTGAGGTCTCTGTAATCTTAATAATAACAATTAAAACTATTTCCGTGACTAAGATTATAGAAAAATAAAAGACCAAAAATATTATTCAGTATTTTGAGAAAATAGAAATGAGACAATATAAAAATTATTTGTCAATTAAAATTTTCAAAAAATTAAAAAAGGCTACAACTGTAAGTATTTCAAATTCCAGTTCAGAATTCTAATTATGCTCAGGAAAGGATATTTTCTTAGGATTGTGAGAATGACAGAGGTTTTTCTTTTAATTTCTATTATATTTTCTCAAATAAAATATTCATTCATTCTGGCCAGTGAGATAGCTCAGTGGACTAAGTGCCTGCTTAGACAAGCACAAGGAATGGGATTCAATCCCCAGTACCACATGCTGTACCAGCCCCGCCCCCAGGCATGCTGAGGTGGCCACCGAGACTGGGAATGGTGATGCAGGCCTGTAATTCCAGTGCTGAGGAGCCTGAAAACGGGAGGATCACTATGATTCTGAGCTGCAGAGTGATACCCTATACCAAATACATTAAAAATAAAAAATTCATTCATTCATTATTTAATCCAAAAAATATCTATTGACTTCTGTCTTAGGCACTATACTAAGTGTTGGGAATACAGTAAATGAGATATACAGAACAGTACTATAGTCAAAAGGAGAATGAGATGGAAGAACAAAGAGAAAAAGAAAGATATGTCTGGCAATGGCTTACTAGGTTGTGTCAGACAAACCTTCCTCTTTACTGCTGAAAACAAGTGGGAAAGATACTTATACCTATAATTACCTATGGGAAACACTACTTAACAGAAATCCTAATACAATCACAGGAGGGGATTTCAACACCTCACTCTCACACATGGGTCAACTGTACAAAAAATAAAATAAATAAATCAAGAAAGAAACAACAAATGGCCTGCCCTGTAGCTCAGTTCTTTAAGTGGCTGCTTCAACAAAGCAGTCAGGCTCAGGTTGCTGTGGTTTGATCCCCACAACTCAAGTCAGCCAAACCTGCCCTGAAGGCATTCAGAGCAAAAAAAAAAAAAAAAATATCCTTCTGGGGCCTGGGAGATGGCTCAGTGGAATAAGTGCTTCCCTGACAAGCGCAATGGTCTGAATTCAATCCCTCGTTCCGCCAAAAAAAAGAAAGAAAGAAAGAAAGAAACAACAGAGTTAAACTACGCTTGAATAGACTTAAAACAAATATAGAGTATATATGTATATATACTATGTAAGTATATTTTATTTATATTTATTTTATATTCATATATATAACATATTTATATATAAGTATATATACACTTTTATATTTATATATATAAATATACACAGTGATACCTCAGTTCACAAGCTTAATTTGTCCTAAAATTTTGGAAAAGATGGCCATGTTTGGGTTTGTATGGGAAAGATGGGCCTGGTTGTATCTGTGACCCTATGCAGAGTTTATGAACAAAAACAAAATTTTGTCTAATGCTTCTGTTTGTGAACCAAACTGCAAATAAAAGCATTTGTGAATCACATGTAAAAGTGATCTGAAGGCATCAGAATACCACTATATTGGTTAAATTGGTTATAAGAAAGAAGACAAAAGAGGAGACCCATGTACCTAAAATAACATTTTTAACTACCTGGAAGCAAAAGTAAAGACTGGGAATATGAGAAACTGAGCAAAGCTTCTGACAATCTTTACAGGTACGGAAGGCCACAAACTAGAGCAATGGGTTTGTTAGTGAGGAGTTTTGGTATGTAACCCAGAATCTGAGTTGGACTCTAGACAGTCATCCCCAAGACTGAAGACTGGACAAGAAATAGATCACAATTATACCTAAAAGCCAGCTTTGACTCAACTCAATCCCTGACCAGAACAAGAAAAGGAAGTTGTGTTTGCATTAAAATAGCACTATACAAAGTATAAAATTATTTGTACTAATTTTCAATAAACTATCGAACTGTCATCCAAAGATAATGAAGCACAATAATAAACAACTAGAAAATGAAGAAAAAATTCCTTTACACTAGTATCAAAAAAGGGCACAGGAAGAATGTATCAATACATGCAAGACTCTGAAAACCATAACATACTACTATGATAAATTCAAAAAGACCTAATGGAGAAGAAAAATGTGCTCTTATACTTGAAGACTCACATTTATTCTTCTTCATATCTAAATTTAATACAATCTCAACCAAATAATTTTAGTAGCAATTCATGGATTGATTCTAAAATGTATATGGTCATTCAAAGAACCCATGTTAGTCCAAACCACCATTAAAACAGAAGAAACAATTTGGAAGTCATGATTTCAAGCAGCATAATGTCACTTACTAGAAACCATAGTTAACAAGATAACATCATATTGACAAAGAATAGACATACGGGTCACTGGAACAAGATGGAGAGTCCAACAAAGTTTAAGGCAATTCACTGAGGGAAAAGATAGTTTTATCAAAAATAGTACTGAAATAATTGAATATTTATAGAGATACAAACAAACGTTGATACTTAACTTCATACCATATACAGAAGTCAACTTAAAATCAATAAAGAAAAAAGAAACAAAGTGAAAAAATTTTTCAAGCATTCTTGGACAACTCTGAAAGAACAAACCTAAGACTCGTTGGCTTAGGGCAAAAAGTATAGGGAAACAGCATAGAAAACCTAGTTGTTAAAATTACAGCAGCACATTTCCCAACTCTGGATAATGAAGTGGATATTGAGGTACTGGAGGCACTTAAAACTCCAAATATGTATGACCAGAAAAGAGCCTCTATACTACATCATATTGTTAAGTTGCCTAAAATTCAGAAGAATTAATGAGCATTAAAAAACAGAGAAACACAAATCACTTAGTATTTTGGCCATGAGAGATTAGAATGTTGTTATTTCAAGCCCTGGAAGAAAACAATTGCCCAATTAAGTAACTATATTCCTTTAGCCTATCTTTCAATATTGAAGGAGAAATAAAGACCTACCAAATAAGTACAAAGTGAAAAAACTCATAACCACTAGGCCAGCACTGCACAAAGTATTTAAGGCAATCCTTAACACTAAGGAAGAGACCACTAGGCCAGCACTGCACTAAGAAAGAGGACAATAGCAATCACAATACTAAAAAATAGTAATAATAATCTCATTAGATGAGTAGATAAATGAATGAAAATCAGGAATGAATCAAGCAAACAATATGACAGAGAACAAAATGACCTGAATTTCTACACACATTTCAACAATAACTCAATGCAAATGGTCCTAATTCTCCACTTAAAGGGCATAGACTGGCAAACTAGATCAAACAATAGTACCCAAATATATGCTGGCTGCAAGAAACTAACTTCTCTTGCAAAGTCGCACACATTCAAAAGAGAAAGGACAGAAAATAACATTCTTTGCAGTTAGAGTCTAAAAGCAATAAGGAACACCTACCCTAATCTCTAAAAAAAGTACAAAGTAAAATTAGCAAAAAAAGACCAAATACGCCACTACATATTGGTAAATGGTAAAAGGAATAGTGTTGAGTTCTCTTTCCCATCTTGCAAGATGGCGGGTGAAAAAACTGAGAAGCCAGACACTAAAGAGAAGAAACCCGAAGCCCAGAAGGCTTCTGCCAGTGGCACTGGAAAAAAGGGCAAGGTGAAGAAGGCAAAAAAGTCCAAGAAGGGGCAGCCCCACTGCAGCCGAAATCCTGTCCT